GATCTCTGTCTCCCTCAGAGATCTCTGTCTCCCTCAGAGATCTCTGTTGACCCTCAGAGATCTCTGTTGATGCTTTTCCCTTCTTGAACTGGAGAATTGCATGTGAAACAATCTATTTTACTGAATTTGCCTTTGCCCAGGGTGTGTTTATGGGATGTTACTATATTGGAACAGTTACTGTTTAGCACTGAAATAATCTATTATTCTGTTAAGCTTTCCAATATAGTTAAGTTATTCCAATTTCTTCTTTCTTTTGTGGTACTTTAACTGTAGTGTATGAATAAAATGTGTTTTACTTCAAGCCAGATAGTTTGACCAATTAAATTGCACCTGGAATGCAACACTTGTTTTGAAAATAAGAAAAAGTTAGGGTCTGAGCCATCTTCTTAATATATTTTGCATGGTGTTTGGTCTGGGCCATAACAATGCAGAAACCATTTTAACATCAGGTGGTAAAAAGTCCCTTTCCCACCAACTCCTTAGACAATCATTTTGGTCAAACCCTCTCCTAAAGTGCAGTTTGAAGAACAAAGTATTGCTACAGGGCTTTGGTGACACCACACCTGGAGTATTGTGCACAGCTTTGGTTCCCATACTTAAGGAAGGATATACTTGGCTTGAAAGTGTTAGAACAAAGATTGGTCCTTGGGATGAGGGGGCTGTTCTGTAAAGAATCACAGCACAAACTAGCTACCAAGAGACACGACCAACTATCACTCATTTCCATATACTCGAACAAAGGACGCCACCAATTCAACTGGGACAACGTAACCATCCTGAGGCAGGTCAACCAAAGACGCGCATGGGAATTCCTAAAAGGCCTGGTACTCAACCCGGAACTCCATCAACAAACATGCTGAAATAGACTCCTTGTACCAACCACCACAAAGCAGAACCGGAAATGAGGCCAACCACCACGTCAGACCAGATCAGGTAAATAACAAGCGGGACAGACCAACAATGCTTCATTTTTCAATAAAGTCTCTGAACCACCCTCCGGGAACCCCTTTTCCCACCTCCAACCTCCCTCTTCCGCTTGGACACCCCCTGCTGACCTCTTAACCACCCTGGACCTCTTCATTGTTAACTGCCAACCGGACTTTGACTGCCTCGATTTCTCCACCCCCCCTCACCCACTCCAACCTCTCCCCCTCCAAACGTGCAGCGCTCTACTCTCTCTGCACCAATTCCCGTTTCACTATCAGACCCTCTGACAAAGGTGGGGCAGTGGTCGTCTGGAGGACAACCTCTATATCGCAGAGGCCAAACGCCAACTCTCCAACACCATGTCATACCTGCCCCTTGACCACGACCCCACAATGGCCCATCAAGCCACTGTTTCCCACACTGTCCGGTGACCTCTCCTCCACTGTCCCCAGTCTTATAGTCCCCCAGCCCCGCAATGCCCGGTTCTACCTGCTCCCCAAGATCCACAATTAGGGATCCACATTAGGGATGGGCAAAAAGTGCTGGCCAGCCAGCGACACCCACATCCCACAAATGAATTAAAAAAAACCACAACGACCCTGGCCGACCCATTGTCCCTGCATGCTCCTGTCCCACCGAACTCATCTCTTCCTACTTTGACTCCATTCTCTCCCCACCTACATCCAGGACACAAATCATGCCCTCCACCTCTTTGGAAACTTCAAGTTCCCTGGCCTCCTGCGCTGTATCTTTACTGTGGACGTTCAATCCCTGTGCACGTCCGTAGCCACCAAGGACGGACTGCAGGCCCTCAGGTTTTTCCCTCCAACAGACCTATCCAGACCCTCCTCCACCTCGCTGAATAGTTCTCACCCTAATAACTAGTCCTTCAATTCTTCCCACTTTTTCCAAATCCAGGGGGTTGCCATGGGCACTCGCAAGGGCCCCAGCTACATCTGCCTGTTTGTCAGTTTATTGTCCCTCTTCAGTACGTACACCGGTACTGTTCCCCAACACTTCCACCTTTACATTGATGACTGCATTGGTGCTGCATCCTGCAGCCAGGCTGAACTGAAGCAGTTCATTGACTTCGCTAACAGCTTCCACCCCACCCTCAAATTCACTTCGTCTATCTCAGACACCTCCCTCCCCTTTCTTGACCCCTCCGTTTCCATTTCTGGCGATAGTTTACGGACCGACATTTACTATAAACCCACAGACTCTCATAGCTACCTAGACTACGCCTCCTCCCACCGTGTATCCTGCAAAAACTCCATCCCGTTTTCCCCATTCCTCTGCCTCCGTCACATCTGCTCTGACAAGGAGATGATCCACTCCCAAGCATTGCTTTTTCAAACGACGCTGCTTCCCCCGCCCCCGTCATCCAGACAGCCCTCCACCATGCCTACTTCATTCCTCGCTCCACAGCTCTTAACCACCAACACACCCTCCAAACGTAATAAAAGTAGGGTCCCCCTTGTCCTCACTTTCTACCCCACCAGCCTCCGCATCCAACGTATCATTCTCAAACACTTCTGCCAACTCAGACTCCACCACCTGGAACATCTTCTACTCCCCACCCCTCTCTGCCTTCCTTAGTTTACACCACACTCCCCACCAACACTCCAACCCGCCCGGTACCTTCCCCTGTAACCGTAACAGATGCAACACCTGCCCACACACCACCTCCCTCACCTCCATTCAGGGCCCTAAACCTGCATCTCCTCCAACTTAGTCTATGCATCTCGTGCTCCCAATGTGGTCTTCTCTGTGTTGGTTAGACCAAATGTAGACTAGGTGACCGTTTTGCCAAGCATCTCCACCTGGCCCATAACGGCCAACCTAACCTACAGGTCATCGCCCATTTCAACTCCCCGTCCCACTCCCCCACTGATATGTCCGTCTTCGGCCTCCTCCTGTGTTGCAGCGACTCGGATTGCAAATTTGAAGAACAGCACCTTATCTTCCGCCTGGGTGGCCTGCAGCCCAAAGGACTCAACATTGAGTTTTCCAATTTCAAGTAACCTTCCCACCATCCCCTGGCTCCCTTTCCAACCCCACCTCCTCCCTTCCATTCCATCTTCTGACCCTCCCTTCCAGCCACCAACCGGATTCATCCTCCCGTTGACCAACCATTTACCAGTGTCCACCTATCACCACCGTTCTGCCTCCATTGGGCTGGCATTCTCTGGAGTTTTGAAGAGTGAACGGTGATCTCATTGAAACGTGCAAGATTCTGGAGAAGTTTGATCGAGTAGACACTGAGAGATTGTTTCCTCAGATTGGGGCATCCAGACCACAGGGCTACAGTTCAAGACAAGGGACCAATCATCTAGAATTGAGTTGACTGAGTGAACTTCTTTTGGGTTCTTGCTCCGAGAGAGTTGTGGATGCTCTATCCTTGAGTATACTCAAGGCTGGGATCGACAGACATTTGAGAGATTCAAGAGAGTGAGCAAGAAAGCAGAGTTGGGGCCAAAGGTCACTGTGATGTTGAATGGCAGAGCAGGCTTGAGGGCCGAGTGGCCTATTCCTGCTCCGGTTTCTTCTGTTCAGCTCTCAGGATTCTGCCAGTGTCACTCCCTCCCCAGGTGCAGTGAAAGTGATTGCGGAACAGCTTCCCCTTCCAGAACTGGAGCAGGGCAACGGAGGTCAAAGTATCAACAATGAGGAGAACCATGCTGAGCCCATGCTTTCCCAGTGGCTCGATGCTGCAGGTTGACTTCCATTGTGCAGGTCACATTCCTTTACTTTGATGTAATTGTTGATTTTACCTACAGCTTTGATACTCCGTGTCAGTGGCATTCCAGTGCCTTGGTGTTCTGTTCTCCTTGGCGCTATGTTTGATCACTTGGCATGTTCTCTTAGTTATGTATCAGTAATTGATGCCATGTTACCACCAATATTGGAGTAGCATTTCATGTAGTGATATGTTCATATGTAATCAACCGTGTAATAATATCAATCTTGAACTCCTCAAAACTGTTTGCAACCGTCCTTATTGCATTTCTTCCTATTGCCTTGTCAGTGTATGAAAATTCATGTCAACTTGACATAATCTTGATTTATCTTGCCATCCTTCCTGTCCTGTTCCTCATGAGTGGCCTCCAGTGGTAAGGCTATCATCTAGGGCTAACACCTGTTCCAACAGATTCAAGAACAGCTTCTTCCCCGCTGTTGTTAGACTTCTGAGTGGACCTCTCAAATTTCAAACTTAATGTTGATCTTGCTCCTTGTGAACCTTCTCTGCAATCATAACATTGTATACCTCGCTCTGTTCTATTACTCTATTGCACTTTGTATGGTATGAACTGCCTGCACTGCATGCAAAACAAAACTTTTCAGTGTACCTAGGTACATGTGACAATAATCAATCAAATCAATCTGGCTGTTTTCTCCATATTAGCCAGAGCCTTTCATTGACCTGTTTGTGTTCTCTTTCCCCATGGGCTTTAAGGCCAAGAGTGTGATGGTGGCTGAAGTAACCGCGCCGGCTTGGTTACATCGCTTTATCATTGGCAAGAAGGGACAAAACATTGGCCGTATAACCCAGCAACTGCCCAAGGTAAGCACTGGGTCATCATCACAGGGCTTTGCCTCCTCAAGATATTAAGATTTATATCATGTCTTTAACATAGTGCCTGGACTCTTCTTAGGGAACAACATTTTGACTGGAGCCTCATGGGACCGTATTCGGGCAGGTTTCCAAGAGGCTAGAGTTTAAGGAGCATCATAAAGAGAGAGATGGGGAAGGTTAAGAAGGAAATCCCAGAGTTTAGAGCCCATTTACAGCTAATGGCACGGCTGTCAGATGTGGGGCAAAGGATATTAGGGGGCTGTTCAAGGGGCCAGAATTGGAAAAGGGCGAGTCTGGGAGGTTTGTAGGAGTAAGTAGAGGATGGGGAGACACCTGTGGGAATGGAAACTTTAATTTCAGAGTTCTCATAACCAAGAGACAGTGTTGCTCAGGGCGAGGAATTCTGAGAGCTCCAACAGGGAGCAGCTAAGTTTTGGTTGAGTTTCCAGAGGATGGTAGTTGAGAGACTGGGAGGCAAACAGTCTCCTGAGAACAAAGGCCACGAATGAGGTTCCTAGCAGTGGTTAAGCTGAGGTAGGACAGACCTGGAAGATGGGTTTGGAAGAATGTCAGACGGGACAATGTCCCTGAAAGGAAGCTAATTTTGCATCGATCAGCTTATCCAATACAAACACAAGTCCATGAATTGAAACAAGGCACATGAGAATCTATGTTGTCATCTTATGACATAGTTGGCAAAAGTAACGTGCATCTCTGGGTTATATGACCCGTCTGGTGTAGGTTCACATTGAGTTCACTGATGGTGATGACAAGATCACATTGGAGGGTCCAACAGAGGAAGTGGAGATTGCTCAAACCCAGATCCAAGACATCATCAATGATCTGGTCAGTATTTCATAGTCATAGAGTCATACAGCACGGAAACAGACCCTTTGGTCCAACCAGTCAATGCCGAACATAATCCCAATCTGAACTAGTCCTGCCTGCCTGCGCTCGGCCCATATCCCTCCAAAACGTTCCTATTCATGTCCTTGTCCAAATATTGTTTAAACGTTAAATGTACCTGCATCCATCATTCCTCAGGAAGTTTATTCTACATACGAGCCACTCTCTGTAAAAAAAAAAGTTGTCCCTCATGTCTTTTTTAAATCTCTCTCCTCTCGCCTTAAAAATATGCCCCCTAGTTTTGAAATCCTCCTCCTTAGGGAAATTATACCTGCCATTCACCTTATCTATACCCCTCAACCTCCTACACACCAGTGAAAAAAGTCCCAGCCTGTCCAGTCTCTCCTTATAACTCAAACCCTCCAGTCCGATGCAACATCCTGGTAAATCTCTTCTAAATTTCATTTTACACATTTTGACACCCCCCCTGTGTAAAATGCACCGACGTTTCCCTCCACCGTTCAGCATTTCATTGTCTAGCTATTTCCTCTCAAAGTTTGAGATACAGGCCTATCACAGTGACAAACCTGTCCGTCTCCTGCCCCCTTCGCCAACCCTGACGCTGTTGTACCACAATCTCTCTTCACCTCCCTGAAGCTGAGCCACGTATATCAAGGACCTGTCACTGGATAATGAAGCTTTGCGGCTGGTGAGTGACCTTTTTGCTTGTGTTTTGTCTCTCTTTCAGCTGACACGCATGGATTACACAGAGATCACGGTCGAGCAGAAATACCACCGTCATCTAATAGGAAAAAATGGAGCGAATAGTGAGTTTGTGTGAGCGTGCCCAGTATAGGCTGAGGGTGCTTACCCTGGTATTCCTCTAGAATCTAACCAACATCACATAAAGAGACCACTCAGCTCATTGTGCTACTGAAAGAGTGATACTCCCCTTCACCCTTGTCTCCTTTTACCCATTTGCATTCATCGTTTTGAAATGTTTATCCTCTTTCCTTTAAAAACATTCTGCACTCAGGTAGGACATTTCCCTTAGCCAGTGACTATCGTAGAATCCCTACAGTGTGGAAGCAGGCCATTCGGCCCAACGAGTCCACATCGACCTCTCCGAAGAGCATCTCACCCAGACAACACACCGGCTCTGTAACCCTGCATATCCCATGGCTGACCCATCTAGCTTGCACATCCCCGGACATTATGGGAAATTTAGCATGACCAATCCACCGTAATCTGCACATCTTTGGACTGTGGGAGGAAACCAGAGCACCCGGAGGAAACCCACACAGGCACAGGGAGAACGTGCAAACTCCACACAGACAGTCGCCCGAGGATGGGATCGAACCCGGATCCCTGGCACTGTGAGGCACTTTGTTAATGTCTTCTTGATTTTCCACTCATTTACCCATGAAAATTGTTTCATGTTAACATAAATAACATTAATTAAAGCATCTTAAATATAAACAGCTGTAACAGATCTCTTATGACCTTTTTGTACAGCAAAGGACTTCCACTATGTAATCACGTAATTTGAGACAACACGATGGCTCAGTGGTTAGTACTGCTGCCTGATAGCATCAGGGACCCGGGTTCAATTCCACCCTCGGGCAACTGCCTGTGTGGAGTTTGCATGTTCTCTCCGTGTCTGTGTGGGTTTCCTCCAGGTGCTCCAGTTTCCTCCCACAGTCCAAAGTTGTGCACATTAGCTGGGTTGGCCATGCTAAATTGTCCACAGAGTCCAGGGATGTGCAGGCTATGTGGATTAGCCTTGGGAAATGCAGGGATAGAGTGGGATGCTCTTTGGAGGATGGGTGAATGGCCTGCTTCCACACTGTAGCGATTCTGTGAGCTTTCGAAAGAAAGCTGAGTGAAGGTTTTGAGTTTAGTAATTCCTCATCAGTTACTTACTGAGCATGGGAGTGAAGTCTGGTGCACAACCATCACTTGACATCATTGCTGCCACAGGCATCCCATATGAATCTGCTGTAAGGCATCTTCCATTGGCTCTGTGCAGACCTGAATGGTCCTCTAAGTCCCAATGTCGCCAGCTTCTGCCCATTGTTACTGCCCTGTCCAGTCTTATCTCCGTTAACCTCTAAGTTGTCTGATAGTCGCTTACAGTTCACTTAACCAAGTGCCGTTCAATCAATATTCTAAAGCTGTATGCAACTGCAAATGGGAACTTGTGTAATTAAGGATATTGGTAGGTCTTATAGATCTATGACATTCTGCATGTGAAACCCTCATGTATACAGTTATACCATAACTTGTTTTTTGCTTCTTTTTGTTTTAAACTTGCTTATCGCAATGTATCAAAATCCCACCCCACCACGCTCCCCACCCCCACCAACTCCCCCACCCACCCAGTGACAAAGTATTTTTTGTGGCCACTTCCAGTGTTCTCTCCTGATGAAAGAAAATGCTGTTACTTCTGAATCTGAAAAATGCTGTACTGTTTTCTGTCACCTCACCCTTTAGTTAATCGGATCAAGGAACAGTACAAAGTGTCAGTGCGCATCCCGCCGGATAATGAGAAGAGCCATCTGATTCGGATCGAAGGAGAGCCACAGGGTGTGCAACTGGCCAAGAAGGAACTACTGGAGATGGCGATCAGGATGGTAATTGTAGCTCCCTACGTCTATCTCCCCATCTTCATGATGCTATCACATTGTTACTGCGGGGGGGATTGGTTAGCAACATTTGGCTGGATGGCTGGTTTGCGATGCAGAGTAGCACCAACAATGTAGGTTTGATTCCCACATTGGTTGAGGTTACCATGAAGGAGCCTCCTTCTCAATGGCTTCCCTCACCCGAGGCGTGGTGACCTTCTACCACCAGCTGCCTCTCTAATTAGAGAACATCCCAATAGTCTGGTGGGACTATGTTAACTTTATGTTACTGTGTATGGTGGCAGTGAGTTAAAATTCGCTTGAAGAGTCCTAGTTGCTGTGGCAAACACACTTTACATGCATGTCATAGTCTAGAGTGATGAATAGTGATGGTAGGGAACCAGCATTCTTCCTGCCACACAACCCATCCGGAATCACTCCTGCTTTTGCCATTTGTCATTGGAAGGGTTTTGCAGTTTGATGGCCAACCTCCTTGGTTGGTTTATTAACATATCTTCCTTGGCCATGAAATGCTGAATTGGGACTAAGCATCTAGAGCAGGTCTTGAGGCCACAAAGCTGAGGACCACCCATTTGGTTTGATGATGGCATAAGGAGGTATGGAAATAAAGGCAGTGAGTTGAAGTTGAGCTACATGTCAGCCTGGATTGAATTGAATGGTGGGAATAAAAGATTTAAGTTATCAAGATAGGCTGGGACTTTTTTCACTGGAGTGTAAGAGGTTGAGAGGTGACCTCACAGAGGTTTATAAAATCAGGAGGGATATTGATAAGGGTCTTTTCCCTAGGATGGAGGAGTCCAAAACTGAGGGGCATATTTTTAAAGTAAGAAGAGAAAGATTTAAAAACGACATGAGGAGCAACCTTTTTTACACAGAGTGTGGTTTGTATGTGGAGTGAACTGCCAGAGGAAGTGGTGGATGCAGGTACAGTTACAATGTTTAAAAGACACTTGGATAAGGACATGAATAAGAAATGTCTGGATAGGATAGGATAGGATTGGAGGGATACGGGCCAAATGCTGGCAAGTGAGACTATTTTGGTTTGGGAACATGGTCAGCATGGACTGCTTAGACCTGTTTGCAAGCTGTATGACTCAATAAAGGATCGTAGGCCTGAATAGTTTTCTCCAGCCCCTGAGGCTCTGGTCACAACAAATAGGTTAGATAGCTGTGAGTCTATCAGAAACGGCAATAAGTCAGCTGCTTGTTCATTAATCTCCAGGGGTGATCTGTGGGATGAATACTTTGGCCAACCACACCCTTTATAAGTGAAGTGTGGAGGAATCTAGCAATGCTATTCAAAGTGGAGGGTATATTGGTGCTGATTTTCTGGATTAGTAATCCAAAGGCTTTGGAGGCATGAGTTCAAATCTCATAACTTATATTCTCCTTTGTTAGGAGATGGTGGTACGGTGGTAATCCAGAGACCCAGGTTCATTCTCTGGGGTCATGGGTTCAAATCCCATTGTGACAACTGGTAAAATTTCAATTCAGTTCATAAGTCTGGGATATAAAACTGCTTGCAGTAATTGGTGATCAAGGAGCTATTGTTGTAAATATCCTTTACGAAAGAAAACCTTCCCATCCCTATCTGGTCTAGCCCTACAAGTGACTTCCTTGTGCAGTGACCCAGCAAGCCACTCAGTTCAAGAGTAATTAGGGATGTGCAACAATTACTGGCTTTACCAACAAAGCTCACATTTCATGAAAGAATTAAGAATTTTTTAAAAATTAAATAAATTGGTAATTAAGAGCTGGTCTGAGCAATGGAACTACCAGATTGTTGGAGGTACCCATCTGGTTCACTGAAGTTATAGAGTCATACAGCACGGAAACAGACCCTTCGGTCCAACCAGTCCATGCTGAACATAATCCCAAACTAAACCAGTCCCACTTGCCTGCACCTGGCCCATAACCCTCCAAAACCTTCCTATTTGTGTACTTACCTAAGTCCTTTATCTGCTATCCTTACTTGGTCTGGCCTACATCTGACTCCAGACTTCTGAAATGGCCAGTCAATTGTGTTCAAAAAGCAGCTCACTATCACCTCCTCGAGAGAGAGAGAGAGAGAGAAATTAGCACTCTGCTGGCCCTCATCCTCGAGAGTGAATCAGAACTGGTCACCTGAGCCATCTGAGAGAGGTCAAGGCTGTTTGCCACCTTCTCGTTGCGTTTATGTTGTGGTGCGTTTCCAGTGAACGTTTTCCTCTCTCTGTTGCTGTCAGGAGAATGAACGGACCAAGGACTTGATCATTGAGCAACGTTTACACCGATCCATCATTGGCCAGAAGGGAGAGAAGATCAAAGAAGTTCGTGACAAATTCCCTGAGGTAAAAGCGTTCCTCCACCACCACCATTCTCCCTGTGCTTACACAGATGGCACAAAAAGAGTCCACTCGGCCCGTTAGGTCTTTGCATGAGCTCCCCAATTAATCCCAAACCCCTTGATCTTTCCCCATAGCTTTGAAGATGTTTCCTTTTCAAATACTTACCCCATTTGCCCTTTTGAAAGTTGCTGTTAAATCTGCTTCCGCACCCCATGTTCAAGAACTCATCAACTCATTGTATTAGAGAATGCTTTCCATAACTCTGCTTGGTTCCTTCAATTATTTTGTCATGCCCTGTCATCACCAGCCCTCCTGTCAGTGAAAACCATTTCTGTCTATCAGTGCTTTCAAAGCCCTTTCCTATTTTGAACACATATATTACATCTCCTTTGATCTTCTATACTTTAAAGCCGGCAATCACAGCTTCTCCAGTTTTCCTGAGTAGTTTAGAGTAGCATTTACTTGCCATTGGACATCTTCATGGAATTCTGACATGGAGTGAAACAATCCATGTAGACTAGGCTTGTGTTAGATAGCTTGAGTATAATTAGCTGAGGGCTAATCTAACTGAGTTGTTAGAGATGGTTAAACAGTTTAATATGGTCAGTCGAGAGAAAGAGAGGGAATCAAGGAACAACAGAGTGGGAGCTTAGAGTTGGAGCCTAGCAGTTTAGGGGTGATGTTGGAAATCACTTGTCCATGCAGAGGGGAAGGGAAATCTGTATCGCAAATTCTTCTGGCCACAGCTCGGCTCAGCGGTCAGCGCTGCTGCCTCACAGCGCCAGGGATTCGGGTTCGATTCCAGCCTTGGGCAGCTGTCTGTGTGGAGTTTGCACGTTTTCCCTGTGTCTGCGTGTGTTTCCTCTGGGTGCTCTGGTTTCCCCCAGAGTCCAAAGATTAGGTGCAGGTTGGGTTGCATTGGCCATACTAAATTGCTCTATAGTGGCCGGGGATGGTGCATGCAGGGTTACAGGGATAGGGTGGGGGGTGTGGGGGGGGGGGGGGGGGGGGGGGGGGGGGGGGGGGGGCGGTGGTGGGGGTGTGGTGGTGGTGGTGGTGGTGGAGAGTCTGAGTGGGACAGTCTTTGGAGGGTCAGTGTGGACTCGATGGGCCGACTGGCCTGCTTCTTCACTGTAGGGATTCTATGAAGAGACTTTTGAGACTAGGATCAATAGACTGTTTCAAAACTGAGAGCACTAGAACGTTGTTAAGGAAGGATAGTTCGGGATATGGAATCAAGACAGCAAATTGGTATTAAGATACGCATCAACCACAATGTTGTTTAATTGCAGAACTCGCTTAAGAGGCTGAATGTATTTCTCCTGTTCCTAATGTAACAGGCTTCAGGAGGTGAATAGTGTCATTCTGATCTTAAGTAACAAGTTTGAGATACTGAATAACCTCCCTGTTCTTGTGTAACACATTAAAGGCATCCTCCTGTTCCTGTGTAGCAGACTGGAATGGTTGAATGACCTATTTTTGAGTAACAGGTTGAATTGCTACCTCAATTCTGAATGAACAGGCTAGATGGACTGAATGGTCCTGTTCCTATGTAGCAATATTCCCATGTTGACTGTTTCCAGAGTAACAAACCACTCTGGCTTCCTGAGCCTTCAAAGAAAATTGTAGTTTTTCCTCAATCTAGGTGATCATCAACTTCCCGGATCCTGTGCAGAAAAGTGACATTGTTCAGCTGCGTGGCCCCAAGAACGAGGTGGAGAAGTGTGGAAAGTTCCTGCAGAAAGTCATTGCTGACTTGGTAAGTGATGGTGGTGCTCCAGCCTAAACAGTTTCCTGTTGTGTATTACTGTCGTGCCTGCCACAATTGATTGGCGCTTTTGGACAGACCTAAGCTGGTGTCTATTATACAGACCCCTGCTGTTTTTTCTTGCCCTCAACCACAAACACTACACTTCTCCCCTCCTATCCCTTCTCAGGCAGCACCCATCCTAGCTTGCTGGTTGTGGAGAAAGGCCCTAACATCCCAATTGAATCCAGCGGTTCCAAAATGACCCCATTTTAATACTTGAAAATTAATGTGCTCATAGACACCTTCCAGAGCAAAACAGTGGAATGAATAAAATTTTGTATGCAATTATTAACATTCATGCATTACAGATGACTGTATAATATCGAGATGAAAATTTATGTTTTTTTAGTTACTTGGTAAAAAAGAAATTATTTTATGTGCTCACCAAGCTTTTACTCCGTCTTAGCCACCCCAGCTCATGGATCTCGACCAGGAAACAGCAGAAGCATGGGTTACGGTTGCTCAGGTTGGGGCTCAGGTCATTACACAGAATCAGTGTTGTGCTCAGAAGGTCAGAGCTTAGCACCAGAGGCAGCGCCACTGGGAGCATAATCAGGGCTCAGCTTTGAGACTCAGTGAAACAGACATGAATAGGAACTCATGACAGAGACGGAGAGATTAGCAGGGCACGGGTACAGCCAGACGTCCCCTGAGCCTTGTTCCTGGTATGGAATGCAGTTTGGGGGAGGAGTGAGGAGGATTCTGCAACCTCATTTGCACGGAGTCATACAGCATGGAAACAGACCCTTCAGTCCAACTCGTCCACACTGATCATAATCCCAAACTGAAACTAATCCCACTTGGCTGCTTTTGGCCCATATCCCTCTAATTTTTTCCTATTCGTCTACCTGTCCAAATGCCTTTTAAATGTTGTAACTGTACCCGCATCTACCACTCCCTCTGACAATTCATTCCACATACAAACCACCCTCTGTGTGAAAATGTTGCCCCTTAGGTCTCTTTTAAATCTTGTTTTCTTGGGACTCACTTCGGCTCGCAGTTTGGGAAGCACTGTGCCAGACCCTAAGCGTGAAAACCTGTCCTGTGTAATTCCTGGGAACTCGCTGGGAATTGTGGAAGTGAAAAAGCAGGAAAGTTACATCACATGTGTATACAACCTTGGGTTGGCCCACACTGGGAGTACTGTGCGCTGCAATGGTTTTCATTTGCAAAAAAATGCAATGGGAGGTGCAACACTGATTTACATAGAGATTAGCAGAAGGCAGAAGGTACATTATCGGGAAAGTCTGAACGGGTTGGGGCTCTTTTCCCATCAAGCTTCACAGCATCACATAGCTAACAGCAAAATATTACAGATGTGAAAGGTACAGTTACAACATTTAAAAGGCAACTGGATGGATACATGAATAAGAAGGGTTTAGAGGGATATGGGCCAAAGGCTGGCAAATGGGACTAGATTAATTTGGGATATCTGGTTGGCATGAACAAGTTGGACTGAAGGGTCTGTTTCCACGCTGTACAATCCTATGACTCTATAGAAGACTGGAAGTAGAAGATTGGGAACCTCTGATTTTTTTTTTACTTGATTTATTGTTGTCACACACACCTAGGTACAGTGAAAAGTTTTGTTTTGCGTGCAGTACAGACAGATCATACCATACAAAGTGCAATAGGGTAAGAGGACAGAGTGAGGAATACAATGTTACAGCCGCAGAGAAGGTGCACAAAGAGCGAGATCAACATTGAAATTAAAATTTAAGAGGCCCGTTCAGAACTCTGATAACAGCGAGGAAGAAGCTTTTCTTGAATCTGTTTGTGCGTGTGTTTAAGCTTTTGTATCTTCTGCCCTATTGCAAATAGGGTTAAGGAGAATCCAAAGGGATTCTACAAATACGTTAAGGATAAAAGAGTAACTAGGGAGAGAATAGGACCCCATAAAGATCAGCAAGGCCACCTATGTGTGGAACTGCAGGAGATGGGGGTGATGCTAAACGAATATTTTGCATCAGTGTTTACTGTGGCAAAGGATATGGAAGATATAGAACATGGAGAATTAAATAGCGACATCTTGAAAAATGTCCACATTACAGAGGAGGAAGTGCTGGACATTGTAAAATACTTAAAGGTAGATAAATTTTCCAGGACCTGATCAGGTGTACGCCAGAACTCTGTGGGAAGCTAGAGAAGCGATTGCTGGGCCCCTTGCTGAGAGATTTGTATCATTAGTAGCCATGGGTGAGATGCCAGAAGACTGGAGGTTGGCTTAATGTAGTGCCATTATTTAAGAAACGTGTTAAGGAAAAGCCAGGGAACCATAGACATCAGCTTGACATCAGTGGTGGGCATGTTGTTGGAGGGGATTCTGAGAGACAGGATTTACATGTATTTGGAAAGACAAGGACTGTTTAGGGATACTCTGTATGACTTTGTGCATGGGAAGTCGTGTCTCACTAACGAGTTTTTTGAAGAAGTGACTAAGAGAATTGATGAAGGCAGAGTGGTGGACGTGATCTATATGGACATCAGTGAGGAGTTCAACAAGGTTCTGCATGAGTAGGATCACATGGAATACAGGGAGAGAGAGCCATTTGGATGCAAAATTGGCTTGAAGGTAGGAGACAGAGGGTGGTGATGGAGGGTTGCATTTTGGACTGGAGGCCTGTGACCAGTGGTGTGCTGCAAGAATCGGTGCTGGGTCCACTGCTTTTTGTCATTTATAGAAATGATTTGGACGTGAACATAGAAGTATGGTTAGTAAGTTTGCAGATAACACCAAAATGGGAGGTATAATGGACAACGAGGAAAGTTACCTCAGATTACAACGCGCCCTTGACCAGATGGACCGATGGGCCGAGGAGTGGCAGATGGAGTTTCATTTAGATAAATATGAGATGCTCCATTTTGGTAGGGAAAATCAGGGCAGGACTTATACATTTAATGCTAAGGTCCTGGGGAGTGCTGACGAACAAAGAGACCATGGAATGCAGGTTCATAGTTCCTGGAAAGTGGGGTGGCAGGTAGAAATGATAATGAAGAAGGTGTTTGATACGCTTGCCTTTATTGGTCAGTGCATTGACTGTAAGAGTTGGGAGGTCATATTGCAGCTGTACAGGACATTGTTCAGGCCAATTTTGGAATACTGTGTTCAATTCTGGTCTCCCTGTTATAGGAAAGATGTTGTGAAACTTGAAAGCATTCAGAAAAGATTTACAAGGATGTTGCCAAAGTTGGAGGCTTTGAGCGATAGGGAGAAGCTGAATAGGCTGGGACTGTTTTCACTGGAACGTCGGAGTCTGAGGAGTGACCTTATAGAGGTTTATAAAATCATGAGAGGCATGGATAGGGTGAATAGACAAGGTCTTTTCCTCCAGGGTAGGGGAGTCCAAAACTAGAGGGCATAGGTTTAAGGTGAGAGGGGAAAGATTTAAAAGGGACCTGAGGGCCAACTTTTTCACGCAGAAGGTGGTGCGTGTGTGGAAGCTGGTACAATTACAGCATTTAAAAGGCATCTGGATGGGTAATGAATAGGAAGGGTTTAGAGGGATATGGGCCAAATGCTGGCAAATGGCACTAGATTTAGTTAGGATATCTGGTCGGCATGGACGGGTTGGACCAAAGGGATCTGTTTCTGTGCCGTATATCTCTATGACTCTAAGAGGTTGGAAGAGATTATAATTGGGTAGGAAGAGTCTTTGATGATGTTGGCTACCTTCCTGTGGTAGCGAGAAGTATTGGTGGATTCAGTGGATGTGAAGCTGGCTTTGCATGATGGACTCTGCTGTGTTCACAACTGTCTCCAGTTTCTTACGGTCCTGGGCAAAGCAGTTGCCATACTATTTCTGAAGACAGAAACAGAATAAATATTTCTGTTTTGATGAGAAGTCACCAACCTGAATGGTCAACTTTGTTTCTCTCTCTCCATGAAATAACTCTTGTAAGTGTGAACACTCCAGCTCTTCTGAAAGTGTATCTCAGTGTCGTTCCCCACCTTGGAAAGAAGTTTGTCTTTTGAGCCATTTTTCTTTTCTCTTGATCTTTGCCATCCCAGATTGAGAACAGCTACTCAGTCTCCATCCCCATCTTCAAGCAGTTCCACAAGAACATAATCGGCAAAGGAGGAGCCAACATCAAAAAGGTACAAATCTGACAGGAATATGACTGGCGCCAGGTTTCTCCTTGGGGCTAACTGGATTGCTGTGCAGGGAGCCAGCATGGCCTCAATAGGCCAAATGGTTTCTTTCTGTACTGTCCATGACTGTATGACCTGTAGGCTTTTATTCACAGATATACATAGCAAATGTGTACAACTCCCAACCCAACAAACAGTTTCAGGCTGTTCCCATGCATAGGAGCTCAATGATTCCCTGGTTATTGCCCATCATCTGAATATAATTAATGTCAAATCGCGTTGACAGACCACATTCCCCACGTGGGCTGCAGTATTCAGGAGGAAGATCCAAGATTTCCCCATTATGACCAACTAACGATGGGGAATAAACAGAATCATAGAGTCCTTAGAGTGCGGAAGCAAGTCATTTGGTCCATTGAGTCCACACCACCTGTCCAAAAAACATCTCACCCCCTACCTTATCCCTCTAACCCTGCATTTCCCATGGCTAACCCACCTAGCCTGAACATCCCTGGACACTACGGGGTAATTTAGCACGGCCAATCCACCCTGAACTGCACATCTTTGGGCTGTGGGAGGAAACCCACGCGGACACAGGGAGAACGTGCAAACTCCACACAGACAGGCACCTGAGGGTGGAATTGAATCCTGGTCCCTAGCGCCGTAAGGCAGCAGCGCTAACCACTGAGCCACCGTGCCACCCCATGTTGAAATAAAAACAGAAATTGCTGGAGAAACACAGCCGGTCTGGCAGCATCTGTGGAGAGAAAGCAGAGTTAAAGTTTTGAGTCCAGTGACCCTTCTTCAGTTTTTTCAGCAATTTATGTTTATGTTTCTGATTTCCAGCATCCGCAGTTCTTTGGGTTTTTTGTTTAGGGAGTAAATGTTGCACTTTCACAGAATGCACACTGTTGTTAATGTTTTTCTTCGGAGAGAAGAAAATAACATCGGATGAGTTATTTGCTTCTTGCCTTCCCTACCTGAGGGGCAGTGAAGCCTTTTGAAATGCTCTACCTGGTCCTTTCAACTGAATTTACACAGCCAGGAGTCAAATTACTCAACCCCTTTGATTCATTCTTGTATCTGCCGATAACAGAAGAGAAAAACAGAAGCTGTGATGGAAAATGTTTTCTCTCTAGAAGAGTAAAACAAAAAAAAATTCAGCCCTTTGAGGATTGAAAGGAGTTGTTTTGATGCATTTAAGGGGAAGCTCTGTAAGCTTATGCTGAGAATGTGACGACAGGGTGAGATGAAGGAATGATGGACAGGGGCTCACACATTGAACAGAGCATTTTATTTCCATTTAGATTGTTTGAGATATTGTGGTGCCAATGACTAGAGTTGACCAATTTCAACTGGGGCTTTGATTGGCCTGTGGATACAGGTAGTGGGCATTGTGGCACTCCCCATTCAGTGAATGGTTGGGATGGTTCTGGTCTTATTATTTCAAGACAGAGATTTCTAAATGTTGAAAGCATCAGAGTGTGGGCAGAGGGCACTGAGGTAGAAGATCAGCCATGATCTTTCCCTCGTAGAATCCCTACAGTGTGGAAGCAGGCCATTTGGCTCATTGAGTCCACACCATCCCTGTGAAGAGCATTCTACCCAGACCCCTATCCCTGTGACCCTGCATTTCCCATGGCTAACCCACCTAGCCTGCATATTCCTTGTCACTGTATCACAGCCAATCCATCCTAACCTGCACATCTTTGGATTGTGGGAGGAAACCAGAGCACCCAGAGGAAACCCATGCAGACATGGGGAGAATATGCAAACTCCACACAGTTGCCCGAGGCTGGAATTGAACTTAGGTTTCTGGTGTTGTGAGGCAGCAGTGCTAACCACTGAGCCACTCTGCCACCCGTGGTTTAGAGAGTTTGTGTTTCAGATTTCCCTTGCCCTCTGCATGAACAAGTGATTCCCAACATCATCCCAAAACCCGATGCATGGTGGAGCAGAGTCAATGGGATGAATGGCCTAATTCCTACTCACAGTTTCAAAATAAGGGCTCGACCATTTAAGATACGGAGAGATTTTTCCTCAGAGGTTCATTTGTCTTTTGTAACTCTTCCTCAAAAGGCAATAGAAGAGAGTCTTTGAAAATTTTTAAATCAAGGCTGGAAATATTCTTGATCAGTGTGGACCTGGACGATCACAGCAGGGAAGGCAACATCAGAGGAGCAGGAAAGTCGACGTTTCGGGTCAGAACCCTTCATCAGAACCGGTCCCGACCCGAAACGTTGACTTTCCTGTTCCTCTGATGTTGCCTGACCTGCTGTGTTCCTCCAGCTGCACACTGACTCCAGCATCTGCTTTCTCTGAATATCCTTGATCAACAATAGTGGGATGGTAAGAGATTATCAGGGGGTAGCTGGGAATGTATAGTTGAGGCAACAATCAGACCAGCCATAATCTTATTGAATCACAGAACAATCGAGGAGCCAAATGGCCCGTTCTTGCTCCTAATTCCTAATCCACCTTGGTTTCGTACATCAAGCAATACAGTGCTTTCTGTCCCAGCAACGTACAGCCTGCCCAGTATTATGAGCACTTGCAGGGTTTTTGCCTTTGTGCTGTCTGGGAGTTCACGGTCTGGATGTTGTACGAGGTTGCAGTCCCATCCTTGCACCTAACCACAACACCCTGCTCAAAATACAGGGAGGAGTTTGTCCTGAACCCTAACCCTAACCCTGCAAGACCTTCACTCCTTTCTCGGGAGGAAGCCCTTCATTAGATAGCGAGAGCGGACCAGTCAGATGGCAGAAAGCTTTGTAGCCCCAGCAGCACCAGGTGGGAATGGTGGCCACTGCTGGAACTATAGTCAGCCCCAACCAGGTGGGTCCAGTTGGAGGGGTATCGCTGGGGCAGTCCCTGGGGTGGGGTGACGCTGAGTTCAAGAAGGTCAAAGTGGGATGTATTTGAAGGGGAAAATTCCTCCACTGCTGGTCCAGGGAATCTACAAAGGAAGTTCTCCTGCTGCTGCGCTTGCTTAACCTCAACCTGAACAGCTACAACTTCTCATGTTGTGTGCGCACAGGGAGTGGGACTGACTACACTGCTCTGCAGAGAATTGATGGGCCAAATAGCCTCCTTTTTCCTTTAACACACCTCCAAGTGAGTCTGAAGGGCTTCACGCCCTCCCGCCCTTGGTCTCCTCTGTGGCTCCCCTTTGTTGTGTCCTGTCAGTGATTGAATTTCTCACACCTCAGCGACTGTGTGAAATGGTGTGAGTGTTACTTGGTCTTTAATACAAGGGAGATGGAGTATAAAAGTGCTGATGTCTTGCTACGACCGTACAGTGTAGTGTATTGGCGAGACCACACCGGACTTTTGTGTACAGTTTTGGTCTCCTTCCTCAAGGAGGAATAAGGAGTTCCTTATCCCTGGGCCGATTCTTAGGAGAAAGGAGTTGTCTTAAGAGGAAAGACTGCGCACATTTGACCTGTACTCATTTGAAGAGTGGGAGTAGATCATATTGAAACAGAGAAGGTTCCGAGGGGGCTTGACAGGGTAAAATACTGAGAAAATGTTTCCCCTTGTAGCGTAGCCTAGAACCCTTCAAAATAAAGGGTCTCCCATTTAAGACAGAGATGGGGACCAGTTTCTTCTCTGAGGTTGTTACTATTTGGAATTCTCTAACCCGTAGAGTTGAGGAGGCTGAGTGATGGATTATATTCAAGGCTGAGTTGGAGTGATTATTGATGGATGAAGGAGTCAGAGGGTGTGGGTGTGGGAGGCAGGCAGGAAAAGTGGATTGGTCGTGATCTTATCGAATTGATGGAGCAGGTTTGATGGGCCGAAGTCCTCCTCCTGCTCCTGTTTCTTAAGCTGTTATGGTTTCCTCTGACTCTGCCATTCTTTGCCAGATCCGTGAAGAAACAAACACCAAGATCGACCTCCCAACAGAAAACAGCAACTCAGAAGTGATCCTCATCACAGGGAAGAAAGCGAATTGTGAGGCCGCCCGGGATCGAATCCTGGCCATTCAGCGTGAGCTGGTACATCAAGCCAGGGCATTCCTGTCCACTCTTACAGCTTCCCAACCTGTTTTCATTGTGAAGTATTCAAACGCATTTCGCAGAAAATTGGCAAACACACACACATGGGAAGCATTGAGAGGGAGCTCAGGCATTTGGAGAAGTCTTGAAAGAGCAGGGATTAGGGCTGTAAGGTTTCAGGGAATGACAGGTAAGAGAAGCCGAGACCTCCGATGGTGGTGCTGCTGAAGAAGGGCAAAGATCAAAGTTGGAGAACCAACGGACATGAGGAGTGCCAAGGGGTAGCATAGCATTGGGGTACAGTACTGGTGGGGACAGGTCTGTCACTGTATAACACTGGGGTACAGTA